ATTGTTATTAGTCATAGTATTATATAATAATACTGTGTACTATATTAATATATTATATACGAAAACATCTTTTAAATGTATATATAAAAGCAAAATGTTTGCTACCTTGAGTTTGGAATAAATATTGAAAAAAAACCAGTCTTTTGAAGGCAAGGGTTGTATTCTGAAAGAAAGAAAGAAGCTTTTTGCAGCTTGTAAAAGTGAGTTAGATCAGGAGATACCACCAAACTTTCTCTTTGTTTTTTCAGAGAGCTCGAAATCATAAGTGACCTCAAACAAAAGCTTAGTCTGTCTTTCAGACTAGATTTGTGCTCGTACTATCTGATGAGGTTTCGATTTTGAGGGAGAGGGAGATGCTTTAATCAAATTAATTGGCATGAAAAGTCTGACTAAAAATGAGACAATAATATATTCCTAAGAAAGTTAATGTATATCAACTTGTGAAGCAATACTTAATCAGCAGGTTCTTGAATAATTTAATAATTCAGACTGTTCTAATTGGCAGGGAGGTTATAACCTTTGACAGCTTGCTAGATATAGAGATGCATAAAGGCTGGGGCTCCACTGACTGGGATTTTAAGTGTTGCTTTGCACACAGCTCTGTTTCCAGTGTCAGTAATGCAGACCAAGGCTTTATCATCTCTAATTTTGCAAGACAGTTAAAATTTTCAAGTGTATTTTCATCTTGTAAAGGATAAAATATACATGCTGTTCTAGTTAGTTCTGGCTTTGAAATTGTGTTTAACCCCTCCTGAAAATGGAAGGAACTGGTCATAAAAAACCTCTTTTTTTGGAAAATCAGTTCTGTAGGTTATAGTTACCTGCCATTACTCTGGGTTGGAGAAAGTAATTTTCTTTTGAGTACCCTGTTGAATCTCTGGTTTAATGGTTTTTGCATAGTTTATTGAGTTATGATATTTCAGCAAAAGAATGATTAACCTTAGAGTAGGTAATGTATTAAAGCGCAGTTCGAAAAGTAAATAAAAGTACTTATTAAATTCTTTTTTATTTTTCTTTCCTTCAGTTTCAGGAGACTTATTTCACTTGGTTTGGTTCTAGAAGTCTTATACTGATGTTTGAACAACAGTAGTTTGTTCTTACAGATCAGAAAGTTACATATTGTTTTTTCCCTTGAAATGAAAACTGATTTAGTATCAGAGTTCTACAACTAAGGCTGAGTTTTAGGAAGAAAAAACACTGATATATCTACCTGCTCCATATCAAGGGCAAAACCACACTAAGAGATTTTAAGACATTCTTAAAGAAAGCCATCAGAAAATTTCATTTGCATTTATTTTTAGCATTAGATTTGGAATTTGGTTAGAATTTTCTTTTAAAACTGAAGTCTGTATCCATGCCTATTTTAAGACAGGATATAGTGCATGAAGATGTGAATCTGATCCATTCCAAATCTTTGCCTGAGTATTTCAGGATTTATAATTCTTCTGTGCAAGAAAAGACGGACAGTGCACACATTCATTCTCCCAAACATTCTCATAGACTAGGCCTTAAATGGCTCCTTAAGGATTGGTTTACATTAACCAACATTATACCAGTTCAGCAGCCTTTGTCAGTAGGGGTACTTGGGGAGTAAGATCCCATGGGACAGTAAAAAGGAAGTTCAGGATTATAACTGCAAACTTTTTATTTATTCTTAGTTGAGCAGCTTAGTTTGAGGAAAACTTTGCCTGTTTTAGAAATAAAAAATATTAGATTATAATAATTTAGGTTGTTATAAATCTAAAAAGAAGGCAGACTTTTTCTGCGTCGTGGACTATTTTTAGCATAGAAATAACTTACTGTTTTCTCTACAGGAGGAAAAGAGCTGTGGATCAAGTTCTCAGATGCAGTGTTACTTTGAATATTAAAAATCTGGTACATAAAATGCAGTATGCAGGTAGAATCTGCATTGCCAGCTGCCTGTCCTTGTATTAGATCTGAAATGGAAATCCTGCTATTTTTGGAGGTGTTTAAACTCACTAGTAGGTGTTAAAATGCTGAAATGTGTGGAAATTCAAGTCGTCTTTTCTCTCTTTCAGATATCTGCTTATGAGGACTCAGTTGCTGCTCATCTTGCAAAAATTCTCAATTCTGATCAGCACTCAGTTGTCATATCATCTGCCAAGTGAGTTGATCCTTTTTATGTACAATGTGTGGGCTAAATCCCCTGTGTAACATCATCACCATAATAATCTTCTGTGTGAGCCTGATTTTCTTATGGTTGGCCTGGCTTGCTTGTCTTAATATATCTTTATGTATTTTAGAGCGGATGCTTTTTCTGCAAAAATTTTATACGGTACAATTGTAATGAATAGCTTAATTCTAAATACATCACTGTTTAAAAAAAAAAAATCACATAATATTGATATAAAGTGATTTTAAATCACTCCAAGTTAGTGTGCAGCTTAAATATGAAACTTACTGTTACTAATGCAAATATGTGATCTACTTCACATTACATTTTTTCTGTTTTGTTTTATGCATATCCATTCAAGAGGACAAACAACTTCACCAATGTGAAGGCGAACTTCAGGCTAGGTAGCTTTGTCATAGCTCTGTCTATATCAGTTCAATAAATAGTGGTCTCAGACAACAGGGTTTTTTTTCCCCCAAACTGAAACATTTGAAAATGAGGGATAATTACTTGGCAAATCATGGACATCATCTGAAATGAGAAATATTCTGTGTATACCTTCTCTGTGAAAAAAAGTCTTATATTTTGCCATATGCAAAAGACCAGTCACAGTCTTCAAAAATACATCTGCATGTCATTACCTCTCTTTTTTTTTTCTGCTAAAAACAAGTTAATAAAATTTCATTGTTACAGTATACATAGCACATGTTGAAAATTAACTGCAAATTCTAAATTGGGTCTGTATCTTGTTAAATCTATTTAGTTTCTGTCAAATAAATTTCAACCAAACGAACAGTACTAAGCAATTACCTACACCTCATTAGTAAATTTGCTGTCTGTCTGCCGTGTAGATAATAATAACCAAGTCTTTCTCCGATTTACACAGTGAAAATTAATTGCAGCCACTGTAGTTTGCATAGATATGCCTCAGGGTCAGCTGTGGTTCAAAAGCATGAGTGGTGCAATGGAACATGTGTGGCCATGTGCTTTCATCTAAGAAGTGCTCCATTAAAGTTAGTAGATTTTCTCCATGGTTTCTAGGCTCCATCTTGATGTGGGAGTTTGCAAGACGGTGTTTGAAGTTAACAACAAAGTGAATGCAGGTTTGCGAACAGCTCTGGTATGGAAGATGTAAAAGCAAGGGAATGAATAAAATTAGTCATGTTTATTTCAATTCTTAGAAATAAGAGACTTAGATACAATGTGTGCAAAGGCTTAAATAAAAAGGGAGGAAGAGTTTTTGTTTTAAAGCTTGTTGCTTGAATTTGGCAAGCCATGGAAAAAAGTATCATCTGCTTTGCAAGTATGATCGCAGAGTTCAGTTTCCAACAAGAATGGTGTATAGCAGTATGCGCATACACCAATTGCTGTAAGAATTTAATATTTAAAACATACCTATTTCATTTCATTTGATTTCTCCCCTATCCTGTTTTTATCTGAAGAATATTATGTGAAACAGTAAAGGACTTCGTTGCCAAAATAGGGAAGACTTACGAAAAACCAATGGAAAATGCAGAGGAAGCTGATGCCATGGCCATTAAAGTAAGATAATGACTATTTTCTGGTTTAAAGTTCTGTTTTTGTGTAATAGCTCATGGGTGTTTAATTTTTAAACCTCTCCAGGATACCCATCTTGGCTTCCATTTCAACCACTGACTTTTAAATTCTTCTCTTCATAGTGCATAGAACAGTTACTTCCAAACTATCTTTAAACTATCTCTATAAACTCTGTTTTCACTTTTTTATTTCAGAAAGGATAAAGTACATGGTAACTTACATAGAGAAATGGAAATACTTAGCATTAGGAGTTACAGTTTTCTCTGGAAGGGATTATGTTAGCTACAGGAAAACAATGGAATAATGAAGAGAGAATATGCTGGGAGAACGAAGAGAAGAGAGACTACAGTGTTAAGAATAACGGTTTAAGCTGAGAATTCATAGAATCATAGAATCATTTAGGTTGGAAAAGACCTTTAAGGTCATCAAGTCCAACCATTAGCCTAACACTACCAAGCCCACCACTAAACCAATTAAAGGGTCGAGTAATAATTAATTTCATGTTTCGTGGCTTGGTGGCTGGATTATTTTATAATGAAAGTAAAACTAGGAGTCATTAAGGTTGGAAAGGACCTCTAAGATCATCAGTCCAACCATCAACCCAACACCACCATGCCTACTAAACCATGTCCCAAAGTGCCACGTCTACCTGGTTTTTGAACACCTCCAGGCATGGTGATTCCACCACCTCTCTGGGCAGCCTGTTCCAATGCTTGACCACCCTTTCTGTGAAGAAATTTTTCCTAATATACAATCTAAATCTCCCCTGGCACAGCTTGAGGCTGTCTCCTCTTGTCCTATTGCTTGTTACTTGGGAGAAGAGACCGACAGGCACCTTGCTGCAACCTCCTTTCAGGTAGTTGTAGAGAGCGATCAGGTCTCCCCTCAGCCTCCTCTTCTCCAGGCTAAACAACCCCAGTTCCCTCAGCCGCTCCTCAGAAGGCCTGTGCTCCAGACCCTTCACCAGCCTTGTTGCCCTTCTCTGGACATGCTCCAGCACCTCAATGTCTTTCTTGTAGTGAGGGGCCCAAAATTGAAGACAGTATTCCAGGTGCAGTACGAAGTACAGGGGGACAATCGCTTCCCTGCTCCTGCTGGCCACACTATTCCTCATACAAGCCAGGATGCTGTTGGCCTTCTTGGCCACCTGGGCACACTGCTGGCCCATGTTCAGCCGGCTGTCTACCAACACCCCCAGGTCCATTTCGGCCAGGCAGCTTTCCAGCCACTCTTCCCCAAGCCTGTAGCGTTGCGTGGGGTTGCTGTGACCAAAGTGCAGGACCGACACTTGGCCTTGTTGAACCTCATACAGTTGGCCTCGGCCCATCGATCCAGCCTGTCCAGGTCCCTCTGCAGGGCCTTCCTACCCTTGAGCAGATCGACACTCCCACCCAACTTGGTGTCATCTGCAAACTTACTGAGGACACACTCAATCCCCTCATCCAGATCATTGATAAAGATATTAAACAAGACTGGCCCCAAAGCCGAGCCCTGTGGAACACCACTTGTGAACTGTAGAGATCATGTTGCAAAAGCATTGAAAAAAAACCCAGAAGGATTTGGTATGAGGCACAAAATTTACATCAGCTGAAAAGAAAAGAAGAAAACAAAGTCATTAACAATCCCAGAGTCAAGAAATGTACTTGCTAAATGGCAGTTCCTGGTTCATGTTTCTATTCAGTGCACATTTTAGAAAATTAATTTTCTTTTTTTACTCTTCCAGGGTCAAACAGTGTTGGTTTTCTTTCCCTTAAGCACAAAAATATCGCCTGTTTTCCAGTGTACCTAGAGAGCAACGTCTCAGTCAGGGGTAGAGGTGTTTGACAGTGTTTCGTTCTGGCTTGAGCCTCTTTGCTCTGTGACACCTCACTTGCTTAAATGTACAGCTGTGTTGCAAACCACCCCCCGTCCCCCAAACCCACCGTGTGTTTTCAGTCTATCAGCTAGGCATGTCCCCATAGGTTAACTCTCCAAATTGGGGTACTGAGTACCCATAATTTGTTGTAATGCATGGTATGGGTAAATCTGTGCTGGCTCTCTCTCTGCAGCAGATCATCTGAAGAAGAGTGAGATCTAATCTGCACCCTAGTTATGTGGCAGGCTGAGTTTAGCACAGTGTGTTACTTTAGTCTGAGTGTAGAGTTTTTTTGTTATAATTGCTCTAATCTGGTTGGGTGTCACAGAGTCTGCAAAAACCCATGGAGACCTACTCATGATCTGATATGAAATATTGAAGCTGGGTTTGGATTTTACATGACAGACGATGACATAGACACTTAGACACAGCCAGTTTAAGTTCTTTTGCATGGAGAAATTAGATCCCTCCCTATAATCTGGTACTTAATTTACTGAAAATGTTCAAATGTTCAGTGGTTTTTTTGTGTGTGTGTGTGTATTCTTTCTCACTTTGTCTTAGTGCTCTGAATTAAATGAGAAGCTAGACCTATTGCTCCAGGCTCTTCACACAGAAGCCCAGGCTGCTCCCATTCTTCCAGGCATCACTCCCCCCATTGTGGAAGAAGAAGCAGAGGAGTTTTCAAGTGAAGAATCCTTGTCTGAAAGTAAAGAGCAATTAGTGGAGTGTGTCTCAAAGTCTTCCACCCAGAAACTCTTCAAACCAAGGGAACAGTTAATGCTCCGGGCAAACAGCTTGAAGAAGGCTGTGAGGCAGATCATTGAACAAGCAGAAAAAGGTGCACATCAGCAATGTTTTGATCCTGATAGAATAATGATGCCTTTTTTTTTTTAACTAGCATAAATTTTCATTATTAAAGCTTGATTTCTACATTCTTATGTAGATAAAATGATGTACTTATTACAAGCTGCAAGGAAATGAAATGCAGCTTGTTTGGATGTTGATGGCTGGCTGGCTGCATATATGAATACATATGTATGCATGTCTGTGCACATATAAAAGTGTGTTTCTTTTGTAACTATTATCCTCCACAAAATTAAAATTTCTGGTGGTAATCTCTATCAATGGGCAAAGGATTGCTAGACTCTTTTTCACTGAATTGGTAATAGAAATCTTTTGTTAATATTTTTAAACTGAAAGTTAAAGCTACAGAAAAAAAGAAGCTAATTTTTCATTTTTGCAGCTTTTCTTTAAAGATCTTGAAACTTTCTGTCTTTTTTTAATAAGCAGTTGTGGATGAGCAGAATGCTCATAGTGAAGAACAAGCGAATCAATCCCCACTAGAATATAACAAAGAATTGGATGAATCCAAAGAAGAGGAAAAAGAGGAAGATACAAAGGAACTTGAGTCCCCTTCAAGTGAGTAAATTAGGAATAAAATAATTTAAAATTATGCAGTCATCTTGTAGTTGCATTATGGAGCATAGTTGGCTTCATAATTAAAAACACTAGCATGCTGTTTCACTGGAAACTAGTCACAATTTTTAATAGATTTGGGTAAATAAAAGCTGAGGGAAAAATATGGGAGATAAGATGAATTATCTTTTGAAATGGATTTACAAAGCTGAGAAGGTATTTTTGGGGGAGAGAAGTGCCTGCATTTAATCCAGTGTTTACACTCACCTTTCTACATGAACCTGAGCAGGGACTAGAGTGTGGGTAATAGTGGCAATAGCATGTCTGTCATAGGTGTTTTAGGGTACATTATAGGAATTTCTGTCAGTCGTTTCAGTTGAAGGGGTTTCAAATTGTGTGAAACAGACATATTTATTCATTGTATTGACAATGAAACTCTGATGTCTCAGCTGGGAACTTAACCTGAGACAGTTATTGGAACAGAGAGAATGAAATTTAAGTCTTTTATATCAAGTGGAACAGCATAAAGCAGGAAAGAATATAATAAAAACTGGAGCATGGAAGTCTCCTGGGAAGTGGCAGTGCTAAGGTCACCCCCTCTATTTGTCTAATCCAGGGCAGAAATTTGAACCAAAGTCTTCAATATCCTTCCCATGAAAAAATTCTTGAGTTGTTGTCCCAAATACAGGTCCTTAGTCCAGCTAGTTCCTTGCAGCTATTGGCTGCTGTTGGCAAGCCATATAGCAAGCCACTATAACAAGCTACTCTTGCTTTCCAAGGTGTAGAGCCCCCTACCTGCTCTGTCCTTGGTCAGATGGACTTGGTCAGATCAGCTGCTTCTGTCTGAGTGCTCCTGCTTTCCTGTAGGAGCATCATTCTGTCCTCACTGCAGGGCTCTGCACGTTACTCTCCAAAAAAAAGGAAGACAGCATGGCTAGCCCATGCTGGGTTTTCAAATGCAACAGAAAGAACCCAGCTGTATTATCTGTATCAATAACTCTACAAAGCAATCAGAATATTGAGTGATCTGAGTTTAAAACAACTTGCTTGGAAGGTAGCTTTTTCATAAAGTAATAGCCCATTTTGTCATTAAGCTTTCCTTCTGGCTATTCAGAGTTTGGTTACTGTACAACAAATGATATTTAGGAATAGTAACCTGCTGAAATAGCATAGTACTAATTCCCACATTCGAATGATAGGGTGAAATTCCTCCTTCATGTGTCCTTTATGAAACCTGCCAGTGAGTGGCTGCAGTGGAAGAAGGAAGGACAATTTGTCTATAAGGGACCCTCACTTGCCTGCTCCCTTGCTTGGTTTTGTCACTAAGCCAATCTAGCCAGAGGTCATGTTTGGACAGTTTCCATCACAAACGTCAATACTGCATTTTGTATTGACTGGTAGTTCATGTGCCAGGGTTGTTCAAGAGTCTCAAGCTGTGTAGTAATTTTAGGAAAGCTGCTTCTTACTATAGGTGGAAATTTCAGTCTTTGTCATATTACCAAAGGGACAGTGACAGTGAGGTCTTGAGATGATCTGCAAGTCATGGAGAAACAGTGGTAGCTCGAGGACAGCAACAAACCTCTACATCCTCTAGATGTTTGGTGAGCAACTTCCTGTGGCAAAGTGAGCAAAGTTGTTTGGGATTTGCATCTCCTTCTGTTACCCTAACCCACATCAACATCCTCAAAAGGTGTTGTCCTCATGAGGGTCTGCTCTGAAGCTGGTGCCTGTGTCAGTAGCTCCTACCTTAGAAATATGACATTAGTCTCTTGAGGCTTCTGTTGATTCAGAATCTCATATTTCCTTTTCTCCAGGAATGGATTTCAGACTTTCTTCAGTGGTTGTCTCTTCATTGGCCCCTTTCCTTTTCCCTTGGTTATAGGAATCAATGCTTGTTGGTTGTCCAGTTTCAACAGTAGCTCACAGAGGATGCTGGCCCTATGGATGACCCAATCCTACTGCCATAAATATATAATAAAATAAAATATACACATATGTATATCCATATGTAGAAACATACATAAACCCCTTGTTTCTTGGTGATACGATTTCTGCGTTTATTGGCGAGCTGTATTATTCTTCACACATCTGATATGTGTGAAATAGAGTGCATATTAATGCTGTCAGTGGAAGATAGGTGTTTAGGGACAAAGCATGAAACATGAATTCAATTATCTGCAATGAAACATCAGTTTTACTCACTAGGGCTCTGTTGTTTTTATCAGAGCATGAACAGCAAAAGTTTATCTTTATTGCAGTTATCCCCATGAGTCTCATCTGTCAAATAAAGAGCAGCTGCTCTGTTGATTTTCCTATTTAATATAACTGCCTTGTTCCCAAGTACAGAGAGAACAGACTGTGTGAACAGCATTGTGAATTTTTCAGTAGCATTATGAAAAATGAATGTTAATTTTTTTCTGAATATTATATTTTACTCTCCGAGGATCTTCCTGGTCATTTAATGAAAATAGTGTTTTTCCATATGTTAATTACCTTCATCTAAGTATTTAATAACTCTTGTTAGATATCACCTGCAGTTTTTATTTCTTTTCATTTTAGAACTTTATATTACAGTGTTTTGTTGTGCACAGATACAAATCATTGTGTTGTATTGTTACCATGCAATACTGTAGCATTTTGTGATAAGTGCTAAGGCTGTTACACAGATGTTAGTCCACTTGGTCAGACCTTTCATAGAAAACAGTCCAGAAAATTTCACCCACTTATCCCTGTCCTGCATCTAATAATTTCTGTTTGACTTAAGCAAGTCATCCAGAAAGGTGTGTAATTTTATTCCTGGGATACAAGAGGGTGAAGAATTTGCCATTTCAATGACTGTCCTGTGTTAGATTATCATCACTGAAAAAAAAGTGAATGCCTAAATCCTGGCCTGAATTGATTTGAACAGAATTTCTAAACCCTGGTTCTTGTTACTACCTTTGTCTCTAGATTTTCTCACTCTGCATTTTCTTTCCATTAATCTGTTCCTACAGGACACCCACATTACTCTCAGGCTGTTATCATGATTGATGCGAACTGATCTGTCCCCCTCCTGTCACCAAAAAGGGTGTATTTTATCCTTCCCACCACATTCCTGGTGGTGGTTTTTTTCTGCTTCTTGGTGCTAGTCCTAATCATTCTATTTTTCCTGAATTAGTTTTCAGGTTTTGAGAGGAATATATCAGATCACTTTGAAATCATTTCATTTTTTGTTCTGAGCTTCTTCAGATGGTCAAGGTTGAAGTTGTCCTAAGCTGAAGTAGTTTTAACATGTGAGATAATTTGGAGCAGAGGTAGCCAAGAAATGTCTATGATCATCTGGTGTGCAAAAGCTTTCTACATGCACATGGAAATGCTACAGCAAAGCATTCAGTAATACCCAAACTTTCTTCCCTGGGACGCCATTTTCTGGCTACATCTGACGGAGCTGAATTTCACAAAGATTAACTTCCCCGGGCTAAAGCAGTCACTGGTATATTCTCTCAGTCTGCATGAAACACGTTCTGCCAGGAAAGTGAATTACGACACCTGAGGTCTGCCCTCTGAAAAGCCTATCCTTCTTTATTACCTCCAGAGGCAATCTCAGGGATAACTGGCCTCACTGAGCTACCAGTTCCTCTTTGTGAACATCTTCTCTTTCCCCTTAATTTTCATCTCCTTCTTCTTCCTGGGCATTACCTGCCTTTGCCACCAATAATTTGATCAGCTACCAAACTTTGCTATCCGTCATGAGGTTTTATTGATCCATCATCTGGAGAATTTTAACAAATAAGTTATTTCAGTTATTTTGGGAATTGCTGGTGTTTTTTGTGAAAACAAAAAAATGATAGTAAACTGATCTCCCCTGTGATCTCTCTAACTGCCGAAGACAAGAATGGCTGAACATGGCTTTCCCTTCCCTTGCAGTTTTCAGGTCAGCTGTAGATAAAGATGTCAGAGTTTGTCTGAGGTTTTCAGAAACCTGAAGCAGGCAGGGGGTCCATTTTAGCTGCTTGAAGCAAATAGCATGGCTGTTGATCTGGTATTTCCATGGCCTATGGGTTAGAATAGCTATCTATATTAAAATTGTTACAAATAATAATGAACTATATAATATAGGTAAATTTATAAGTAAATATACATTGAATTTAAGTTTAAATTCATATTACTTCATTAATATATTTTATCAGAAGCTTACTAGAGCATTAAATACTATTACATTTTAAGGTGGATATAATTCAACTTTTGCTAGTAGCTTAAAGTGTAAGTTGGGAACTCATCACGTTGAATGCCATGCACACTCATTCATTTTAATTTGTGCTTGTTACTTGATCTGTTTCTGAGTTTTCTTCCCTGTATTTAGAAGAAAAACTGTGGTGTGAGGGGGAAGGACATTTGTCACGGAATGGTAACACATTAAATTAATGCTTTTGAAATACTTTCAGGGCTGTAAAAAATATGTATTTGGTAAGGTCATGATAAGTCTAATTAGTGCTCTTAACTTTTACTTCTTCTGCACAGCTAAAACTGCACCAAGATCTCCAGATCGACGTACAAGCCGAGGTATCCATTCTCAGACAGGCTCTTTCTCTGCTCCGGCTTTGGCTGCAAGCAAGGAAAACCTCCCAGTGCTTAACACTAGGATTATCTGCCCAGGTAATTATGATTTTGAAATATGCTGTTCCTTACACTACTTTAACATTGCCTTCTGTTCCCCTGCTGGCTGTCAAATAATGATTTTTACTTCATGTCAGGAGCCCTGAATTTATTTGAACCGACATACACATCTTTGTGTTGTATCATATGGTAGGAAATGCAAAATAATGTGGAAGATTCCTGATCATTTGGCACAATACCACATGTAGCAGTAGTGTTACGTTTGATCCTGGAGGATGAAAAATGAAATTCAGGATCTTAGAATAATAGAATCACAGCATGGTTTGGGTTGGAAGGGTCCTCTAAAGGTCATCTAGATCATGAGCAGGGACATCTTTCACTAGATCAGGTTCCTCAAAGCCCCATCCAACCTGACCTTGAACACTTCGAATTATGGGACATCCACAACTTCTGTGGGCAACCTGTGCCAGTGTCTCACCACCCTCCTCATAAAAAATTTCTTCCTTATGTCCAATCTAAACCTGCCCTCTTTGAGTTTAAAACTGTTGCCCCTTGTCCTGTCACTACAGGCCCTAGGGAAAACTTCTCAGTCTTTCTTACAAGCCCCCTTTATATTTTGCAAGGCCACAATAAGGTCTCCCCGAAGCCTTCTCTTTTCCAAGCTGAATAACCCCAACTGTCTCAGCCTTTCTTCATAGGAAAAGTGTTCCAGCCTTCTGACCGTTTTCACGTCCCTCCTCTGGACCTGCCCCATCAGGTCCATGTGTTTCTTGTGCTGGGGACACCAGAGCTGGATGCAGTACTCCAGGTGGGGTCTCATGAGAGCGGAGTAGAGGGGCAGAATCACCTCCCTCGACCGGCTGCCCACGCTGCTTTTGATGCAGCCCAGGATACGGTTGACTTTCTGGGCTGCAAGCGGACGTTGCAGCTCATGTCCAATTTTTCATCCACCAGTATCTCCAAGTCCTTCTATCATTCATCCTAATCAGTGGGGGCTATGAAGGAGCTGAGGGACAGAGCCATGTAAAGTTCAACCCTCTGAATAAGAGGTATCTGTAGATACCTCTCAGGAAATGGGTAACTGAAACTACACAAAGCTGCTGTGCAGTAATAACAGTTGAAAAAAAATCTGTTCTTATCCAAATGCAATTAATACTAGGGGCACCAGTAAAACACTGTTTTAATTAACTTCATTAGTATAGTTGAAACAATGGAACTGAGCTTACATTTTTCTTTAGGTCCATTTGAAAGCTTTTAGAAGGTACTTTTCTTTGTTTACATGCATTACAGTGTTTTGCAGAGTGACTTTGATACTAGTCAAGGTAGGCATGGCAAGGCTGTGACCTTTCCACAAATGAAGTTAAACTAGGACCCAAGGAAAATCATGGACAGTTTGGAGATGAAGATTAAACTAAATAAAAAGCTCTAGAAGTGGTTTTGGATATTAGGTGACCCATTTGGTTACTATGCCAGCCAGTGAGTCTTGGCCTGAAATCCTGAATTTTCTTTGTTTTTTTTCTTTCTCAATGGTGGTACCTGAAGAGTCAGCCACCGCACCGCAGCATAGCTGCCCTTCTGCTCAAGAGAGCCAGAGACCTGAAAAGATAACCAACATAGGTAAAAACTAAGACAGAAACACAATCATTCCCTATAAGGATTTAATGAATACTTTGTCTCTCAGTATGTGGCTTACGTTACGACAATACATGTTTCTCTATTTATCATATATAAATTGGTCGTTTGTTATTTTTTCCTGTTTTTTTTAAATCAGGTTTGAGGGCTGGTCTAGCTGCTTCTATTGCAGGAAGTTCAATTATTAGCAAAATGTTGCTAGCAAACATCGATCCATTTGGTGCTACGCCGTTTATTGACCCGGATCCAGATTCACTGTAAGATTTTTTTTTTTTTCCAAATTTACTGTTTTGCTTTAGTTTGCTTTTCTTAAGCTTTTTTTTTTTACTTTTTTGTAATCTTTTTTTTTCATTATGAAATTCTGTTTTGCTGTCATTTGCTGTCAGTACACCTCAAGGTCTGAAAACAAGTTGGATTGTGCCATTTTAGTTATGAGTAGTGCAGAAATGTCTTGCAGCAGCAGAAATAATAGGACATATTTGCTCACTTACCCTTGCCCATTGGCTCTGAGAGGAGGCCAGCAGTCCTTCAGAGCTGGGTTTTCCTGCCCGAACCACTGGTCTGAACAGAAGCTCAGTGACCAACAAGGTGCTGAGGCAGGTCTGGGCACTTCATAGTGGAGGAAGAAGAAGAGTGTCCCCCTAAGGACTGGAGCAGTGAGGTGGAAATTTTGTGTCCTAAGCTGTGTCTGCTTCCCAGAGCTGGGTGTAACATTGGCAGAGACTTATGGATGGTATCTGGATTGTGTGCTGCGGCTCGCCTAAAATAAAGCACTGCTTTATTGCCGGCAGCATCAGCCAAACATCTAGCACCAGCACACCTAAACGCAGCCTGGGTGCTTGGCCCGGTGTGGTGCTGCTGTCTCAGAGCCGTGCCCGGGGCAGCAATTTCCTCATATTCCATTGTTAATTTTGGGTATGGTGGAGGTAGTGCTAGGATGGGGGTGTGTTACAGTTTCTTCTTTGTCCTATGGCAAGTAACTTGCACTTGCAAAGGAGCTAGCAGCAAATCTGTCTCTAAAACTGCCGTTGGGTTTCCTCAGGGAGATTCAGAAGAAACATCTCTTGGCGTCTCTTGGTCGATGTATCTGTTCTGAGACCAACCACAATCTTGGTCAAAGCTCTGTTTGTCCAGGTACTGTGTAAATGTACACCTAATTATCTCTTTTCTTCTAACAGGGAGGGATATTCAGAAAAATGTGTCATGAACAACTACTTTGGAATTGGGTTAGATGCAAAAATTTCACTAGAATTTAATAACAAGCGAGAAGAGCACCCTGAAAAGTGCAGGTAATATACTTGTCAGTAATAGAGGCAAGATGTTTCCATTATTTTCTTTTCCTTATCTCTTTATTTGAATTTCTTAACTTTTTTGCATCCTACGAATACAAGACATAATAATGTGTGTATTTCAATATGTGAATCTTGTTTTACCTGTTTTCAGAAGTCGGACAAAAAACATGATGTGGTATGGAGTTCTTGGCACAAAAGAGCTACTGCAGAGAACTTACAAGAACTTAGAACAAAAAGTTCAACTTGAGGTAAATTTTATTTATGGGCAGAATGAATATTTTTGCTTCCACAATGTGTAGTGAAGAATTTGGGCTTCCTCTTGGAACCTTTTAGAGTTCTTATGTTGACCCAAGCTGACCTCAAAGGCACTGTGTAAAAATGTGCTATGTAAGAGGTGGTTGCCCAGGTGTTTTTTTGGAATAAAATGTCAGTACTTAAATATCCCAAAATATCCAGTGTAATGTTTCTTGTAATTGCTGGGGTTTTTTTCAGAAATTTTCTTGTATAGATAGGGTATGTTTCTTAATGTTCACTGCATTGAAGGGAGAGACCAGGTTTTAAGGAGAATAACAGAACTGATCATACACTAAACAGAAGGAAAGAGATAAGGAGTCTTAGTCCTTCAGGTTCATTTTAAGCTATCTGAAAGCTTGATTACACATATAGGGAGAGCACACACATGATCTTAGTCAAAAAATCCTGACAGAAGAGGGGAGATTCTGAATGCTCATCACAAGAAGCTCCGCTACACCTATAGAGACTGTCTCTAATAGGTGTTTGAGACAGTCACACAAAAGAAGCAAGGCATTATCACAGCAACAACAAATGCAGTGTAAATTATCTAAAGATGGTTATTTTTTATCTTTTAAGTTATAACATAAAATCCAAGTCTTCTTCACGATACTGGGAACTTGGAGATATAAAGGATTACCAAATGCAAAAAAGGACTATGGGATGGTTACAGTTGTTTTCACCCAAAGAATATCTAGACTGGATTTTGACCAAGAACATACATAATTTCTCTTTTTACTTCATGCTAACCATTTGATATGGAAGTTCATGATATTTATATGAAGATAACTTCTTAAGTTGAAAGAATAATTTTAAGTTACTGGAACTCTTTCTTACTCCTCTGAGATTAAGGAAGATTTTGTCTGGTAGCAGCAGATTGCTGTTATCTAAAGATTGAGTAATTATCAAGAAATTGTGCAGTAATAAGTGAATATAATGACACGAAAGAACATTATGTATGCTACGGATAGAATTCTAATTTAAGGATCTTTTGAATAAGATTCAAATAAGATTCAATAAGGCATTCAAACCTGACCTTTCCATAATTATTTCTTATATTTCTGGAAGTAAACCAGCAAGTAGAATTTCATATTTAGTATTGCCTTGCATAATATTAGCCTTATGCTAAAATGTGTGATGAGGCGCTTGGCATTGGAAAATTAAAAATATCAATTTCAGGAATTGGAGGCAGACCTCTACTACAACAAAAATGGCTGTGAAGCATCTATTAATATCAAGGCATATTTTGGATACTATCACATTTTGATTAAAATGATAAATTCTGTCTTGTTGCTGAGATTAAATCATAAAAAGAGAGCACTAAGCACATTCTGGAAATGATTTTGCATCTCTTTCTCCTCCCGATAAAATTGCTACAGATTTTGTCCTTATTTCCTGAGGATTTCTATTTCATTTGTATAATTTTAAGATCCTTTTGTGGGACTGGTAACTTGCAGTAATCTAGCAATCTTCTGTAAAGGCAACTTTACCTCCAAATTCATGATGCCCAGAGTGACACCTGAAGACAGCATTTATGACCATATATTTCCAACTTGTTTCAAATCCACGCTTGTGGCACTGCTGCAGGACTGCACTTTTGACTCCCAGTTGAATGGTTTGAGATTGTTGGGCTCACCTCTGCAGGCAGTTGTACTGCTGGAAGTCAAGAGTGATTTCACTGAAGTCTTTAAATTTACTCTTGGCCATAAGTAGGGTGAGATTGACCTATGTCATCCCACGATCGTGCTGAGTAGGAGTTGCTTATGGAGTTGCAACTTGGAGTTGCTTATGGGTTTTGGAGGATAAAGAGGTAAGAAAGAGGGAATAAATGGTTGGTCATAGGAGTGACCTCTTACCTGCAAAATCAACAACTCCTAGCCACTGCCAGGGTAACAACTGTGGGGTCATTCCTAGATTTGCATTTGCGCTTTTGGGAGAAAAGTGAGTTATTTGTACAGGAAGGCAAGTATACAAGTGCTAACAACACTTACATTTAACTACATGTTTGTGGCTATGCCGGAAACATTCTTGGAATTTTTTTTTTTTTTTTCCCTGCTTAATAGACTTAATTAATGTGAAATTGTGAAAAAGTTTCTTTGAAGAGTCATGGAACGCCTCTGCTCTAGATACTAGTGTTTTTTCAGCTTCGCAAAAATTGGTGCTAAGAATGGGAAGAAGAGGTTTGTATTAGAGCTGCTTCACAGCATGGATGGAATAGGCTTGTGTCAACCTATTAATGACTCCATCCTCCCCTGCCAGCTCTGTTGAATCTTCATGTATTAAAAATGACCGATTACTTTTATCACATTATTTAGATACTGAATGAGCTTTTATCCATTACAGTGTGACGGACAGTACATCCCCCTTCCAAGTCTGCAGGGCATAGCTGTGCTAAACATTCCCAGCTATGCTGGTGGGACCAATTTCTGGGGTGGAACCAAAGAAGATGATGTGAGTAACATTAAAAAGAAGTAACCTTCTGGGTGAAACCAGCAATAAATACCATGAACTGCTCTTCTCATTTAATTTTAATAGTAGTAGCATATAGTTTGGATAGCAACTCTTATTCAGGGAGGCTGTTTGAGTTTAAACTGTATTGTCTTGTATTTGATTTTTTTAATTGAAAATATACCCCATGATTTTTCACTGGCTATTGCCTTCTGTCATGTCCATTCCAGCAAAACATTCATAATAAGGCTTAATTTTTTTTTTCAAAAATTGCTCTATGAGAGAGTATTTTTAGAAACTAATTTTGTAAACAAATAGTTTCTTTTTATACTGTTTTACAAACTCTTGTAAATGAGGTTTCTCAAAGCACAGATTCCTGTGTTTGCTATAGTCTAACAATAAACAAGGTGGACAAGGATAATCACTCACGGTTTATACCTGAATTTTCCTCCTGTTCTTCAAACAGCTTTGGACTATGGTGATTCAGAAAATGAGGACTGATGCATTTAGTGACTGATAATTTAGTGGGGGTAGTGATCCGGTTTTTAAACATTATTTTCAATGAACTTCTAAAATATTTGAAGATACCTTTTTTTCCCTTCTTCCTCTCATCTTGTAAGAAACGTTATGCTACTCGGATACCTAAATGTCTTACATCTTGGAGCAGTCTTACTGCTGCCATCCATGTCACGCACAGTGCAACAACTGTAATTACTAGCAGATTATACTAATTCTGCATGTCCTGATTTAGTGTGTGTGAGGTCTGAATCACCTAAAACTGTAGTTGCAAATTAGCATATGATTTTAATGTAGGCAATCCAGGACTTTTTTTCCCAAAATGCTTTTCATTTCTTGTGAGTTATTATCCTTTGCTTTTATTTTTATATATATATATTATATA